ATCGACCACGCGATGCCTGCCGGCTCACTTGTTTCCGAGTAACGAGCGGATTTTGCATTCTAGCTTTGTTAAACGTGAAAATAAATTCCCGTCAGAATTCGAATGCGTCTGGGCTGTTGCACAACTCATTTCCCGCGTCAAGAAATTCTGCTCTTTCATCCTGATAAATGATGGTGTCGTACGTGTTACGTGTTGCAAGTTGCAGCTGGAAAAACTCCCGTTTCCGGCTCCTTTCTTACGAAACGAACCGAGATGCTCTCAATCTCTCGGTACTGCGAGATATTATCGGGTTAAGCAGCATCGGTTGGCGACACGAGGTAAAAGATCGTGCATCGTTGATCTGAAAAATATGGCAGACTTTGGACGACATTAACCGATACTTTCATAGCAAATGGCGGCGACGAAAGTCTTACCTGAACGCAATCCTTGCAGCCACTTTTCAATATCCCGGCGACCAAACGAGCGTGCTGAACGGGTTCAATTTACAAATTGGAAAATTATACTGCCCAAGAGAGACACACCTTCTACAGCTCGTTTGTTCGGGGAATACACGCGAATTAACGCGAAACTGCGTACGCTGTTGCGTGGAACAGCTCGCGTTTGAACCCGAATTCCGCGCGAACGTTAAACAAACGAAATCGAGCCTCGATATAGCCGAATGAAAAGGATCATTCTAATCCAGCCACCGTGGAATTACCGAGCTCGCTTCTCCGAACGCTGAAAACTTCCGTATTTAATCTAAAACGAAACACGAACGACCGTTCCTGTGCCTCGGTGTAATTGAAACTGTCCAAAGTCCCGTCGACAAGTTCCAAAGGCTTTTTTCTTTCCCTTTTTCCGCGATTGAAAGTTCGAACATGGCTGGAATGAAAAGCTCGATAAGAAAAGGTTAAATTAGCATGCATATCGATCCGGAATTTGTCAAAGTTCTAACAGAGGAAAATTTTAATACGTTCAATTAAACGCATCGGGTCATGGGGTCCTCGATTCGTTTTTGCGGAAAAATCGTGGGACTGGCTGAGAACGAATGGAAAAATGAGGTTTATATCATGACAATGATAATTCTCTGTATCCAAGTGCATTAGGATGTTTCGCATCGGTAACTTAAAAGCATTAGTATGTTTTCGCGAAAAGTTCCCCGTTAATTAGACGTTAAATCGTGTCCTCGCGGAATCGTAATGGGACTCTGTGAATTCGCAAAGCATGGTGAAGTAGATACGTGGAAAATTGTCGACTTTGAAGTCATTTTCTCCCTTTTTTTCTTTTTTCCTGCTAAATAAGTCTTTGTAACTTTGATTCCGAGAGCTGTGAATTTTTTTGCGGCTAAAGAGGGAAAGGAGGGAAAAGAATTGCATAATTTTCGCGACTCAACGTTGTTTCTCTGTGATGTTCTTCGTGCTGCTTCACGCCCTTTGCTATCGAGATACAGGGATATGCTCGACGAATGTTTAAACAGATGCATCGATTTTACCAAGTCCCAATTTAAACCTCTTCCGAATGAACGAAGTTTCATTTTAGATCCGCCGACCTTGCGGAACTTTATTAAACCTGCCAAAATTTTAAAGGTCGGCCTGAATTCCGGCAAGCGTTTAATTAGCGCGGTCAATTAGAAGGAATTCTAATTTCCCCTTCGGTTTGCGACTAGAGCGAGGGGGGCGGGGGGTAAAGAATTTTCGAAATTCCGCATTTATCGCTGTTTATTTCGACTCGAAATCAAAGCTTCATCTTCAAAGAGTTTCGATTGACTGGAAACTCGCGTAATTCGATTAACGTGAAAAACACAGCGAAAATGTGGGCACTTGCGATATACAAGATTTATTAAATTATTACAGCTATTATTATATGAGAATACACAATTTTTACATGTACATTATAATATATTACGTATCTCGCTATTTACTCTCTTCTTCCAATTCTTTTTCTCTTGTTCTCCTTTTATACACACTTACTCGACTTAATACGTCCGTTTCTCGCGTTTCTTTCTCTCACGATACTTCATTCTGCATACAAAACGAATAATCTTCAGGGGGAGGGGATTAGCGAACGAATACGTTCGTCTTTGCTGAATAAGTTAAACGCAATTTACACGTATCAACAGCACTATAACTCGTGCCTTATCTCGTAATGGTTTGCAACCCGACTCACCTCGGCTCGTTATGCGCGCAAAATAGAATACTGCGATTACACATGCACGTAATAATTGTTGGACGTGGACGATACTCTTTTTTGTTTCTTTTTTATTTTCTTCTCTTACCTTAAACCGCTTCTAACTTAGCTAACTATTATGCCCTGCGTGGTTCTAATCGTGACACGTACTCCCCGATACTCAATGTACAATTTTCTTCTCACGCACGAAGTGCTTGAAATCCGTTAACATCCACTGACATCGATAGGGTCCGATGATTTACAACACCTTCGACTTGCTCGACGCGAATAAGGAGAAAGAAAAGTGCGACGAGTGACCAATTGCTCGATACAAATCACGGCTCGCGAAATATAAGGCTTAATGGGCTTTCGTTCTCTTTTAACACATCGAAACGTCTTAATACTCGACACGCTAGACACTCGATAAAATGGCGGTATGATACGCCTTTAAACAGCACCCATTATTGACTCTGAAGCAACACGCGTGTTGCGTTTGTTTTGTGCAGTACGATAATCTCTTACTCAATTTGTGCTCGCCCAGTTACGAATCGTCCCTCGACCGACCATTGCATTTTCCTTCTTCCTCTTCTTTCTCTCTCTCTCTCTCTCTCTCTTTTTTTTTTAATATGATACAAAAAATATTGGCGCGCACCAGCGCGTGCGAATATAAAATATACTCTCGCGCGTATTGTACAAGCCCGCGTTTCTTCGCCTTTCCTCATTTTTTCTCTATGCGTGTGCGCAAGTTTGAGGTCAGAGCAGCTACATCCGACAAAAATCTGTCGTTTCGTGTTTACCGGGTTATCAATTAATCAACGCGCATTCCAGCGCCGCAAATCGTGAAATCAAGAAATCGAATAGAAGTCTGCCGAGGAAGAATTTGCAAAAATTCTCATTTTAACCATGGCAACACGTGACCCCAAACTTACGGTCGTTTCTTCCACTTACCTACGTAGTTTAAACATTAACTCGACATTTACAGTTACTTATGCGGTTGCTTCGCTCAGTTAATTGCTAGAGAATAATTATACGTTCGTATTGTTCCTCGATTCTCCCGAAGGCTTCCTTGCTTACGAAAACACTGAAGTGAGAGATGCTGGCTTTGGTATAATCGATAATCTCTCCTAAATACACTCCGTAAATGCTAAATCGATAAAAAATACTATTCTTCTCCTTACCTCCTGCGTATATATACATGTGCACGATTTAAAAGGCCAATAGCACGGTCAACGTTGCCCTGGCCAAGTCCTTCGCGGTTCAAAATCGAAGAGTATCGCGAGTCTTGTCTGTTTCGTTTGATCGGTACAATTGACTTTTTATTCGTTATTGCAACGGAAAGTGGCGATCGACCGCCACTGCGAAGATCTACGAGGATCTACGAGGACTGCCCGTAAAAAGGTTCCATCTTCGTTCTTCCTTACATCGTGGAAGATCGGACGTCGTGGAGAGAAGTTCGTTCAAGAGAGTTGCCTCGATCTCTTCGATTTTAAGCCACCGATTTCTTCCATTTCAGACACAGAATTTTATGCTAACTGTAAATTACACTCGTCGATACGCAGAGGTTGCTCTTAATTAACGCGCTCGCTGTGCCCTCGTGAAATTGTCATCGATGGTGATTAAAATAAGGATTAATTGACAGCGGACGCTTTAATGTTCGAATCGTGCTAGTACAACACATATAAGGTGTTTTCTAAATCGCAGATCCGAGCAAAATGCGAGATCGATCGAACGAATCGAACGATCGGAATTGTATTCGAGATTAATCGATCGTGCTCGCTTCGATCTGCCACTTAGAGAATACTCGATACTTTGCTTGTTTGTTCCTAAAGGCATACAGATTAATCACATACACCTGGAATGATCCCTTTCTCTCAATTTGCGCTTGGAATTCTTCGATACACGCTTTTCCGTGATTCCTTTCGTCGTTTCATCGTGAACGTAAATCGTAAAATGATGTAGAAAAACTCATATCGAATCGACGCGCCCGCCATTGTAACGGGACGATTCAATTTCGCAAATGGTCTTTGCAGACGACGCAAGTAACGAACTGGATCGATTTGAATCTGTTCACAAAGAAACGAATTTCCAAACTGTATAATCCAAATAGTCAAAATGGCACTAGAATGTTTCGTTCGGTAAAAAACGTGATACATACAAAAGGAATAGAAAAATCGTACGATTAATAGTGTGTCGCAAAAAACCCAATACTTTCTCGATATCGGTATAAACGTGTAAAAGCTAAACTGCTGAAATTTACTTAGTTCTCTTTTTTCTTTAACAGCTGCTTAATGTATCGTTAAGCATTGCGATGCAAAACTTTGCATACGTGTGTATAATACGTGTGTCGTGTGTGTACATAGCTATCTACTTATATACATATATATACATATATATGAATATGTATATATATATATGTAACATTTAAGTAGGATTCGTTGAATTTGCTGCGATGTCTTCCACGAAAATTCGAAGTGATACCGTTCGATACTTAATCGTTGGAAAAAAAGAAAATGGAAAAGCATTCCGAACAGGTGAAGATATATCTAACGATCAACGTAACACATTATCTCGTATATATCGTTTAACCACATTTGTAGCCGACGTACAATAGTTTCACAGACACTTCTCGCTCGTTCAACGTTGTCAACGTTCGGAAATCGTGATCATGCGATTCGAAAGATGTTTCGAAACGAGAGTTCGTATGAGATCCTCGAAGCCCCGATGGCCCAAGTTCTAGCAGATAAAACTGTCGCGTGCCTCGAAACGAGGAGTGATGAATTTCAATGCTTACCGCGAAACGGTAGCTCTCGAGAGCTACAGTTCTCGCTGCAAAAGATTCGTTTGTACGTGGGAAAGAGAAACTAACGCTGCCATCGTCGTCGATCATCGTTGTTCACCAATAATTTGAAATTCCTTCCAACCTAAGGTTAGGTAACCTTCCAACAGCATGAAACGAAGAGGCGCAAGGAACAATCTCGTTGCGAAAAGCGTATGCTAAGAGGGAACGGAAGAATTTTCCTTAATGGAAATTTATCGTAACGAAACGATAGAAAAAGGATTCACGCGTTTGGTGAAACGAAGGCAACCAACCAGTTTCCCTTCTCCGAAGAGTCCAAAAGCGAGCGTTCCTTTCGGCTCGCATAAAACGTAAACTTAAAGCGTGTCTGCGACTGATAGGATGAATTCTACATACTGGCCGTGTGATTAAAATTACAGAAACGTGCGTTTATAGTCTCGTCGAAGACTCTGTTCCATCTTTAAAGGAAAAGATGCATTTCGCTCTCGTTCGATATACTCGGTAATAAATACGTCATTGGTTGTTTTATCGGATTACCTCCTTCGACGATATGTTCAGTCTTTGATGCCTCATCGTTTCTCGTCACAAACGAAACGTGTCAAAGCGTAAAGGTATACTTTTCTTGTGCTTGTAATCGACTCGAAGTACTCGAAGCTTTGCTTCTTTCATCGGCGAGCTACTCGAGGTGCTACTCTCTCTCTGTGCGGTGATTAGTACCATTCCGGAGGTGTCGTACCATGTCGTATAGAAATCTACGATGAACTGACCACACGGTTCGGGAACGAATTCCTTCGTCGAGCATCGAAAGAAAAGGAAACGTTATTCCAGCAGCGATCGGTCCGTCGAACGGTGCGATGGACTCTTCATCAGCGACGCGATCGATCCTCGCGACGAGGTCCACGAACATTCCCGATTTTTGGCGATTGCTCTTCCCCGCGAGACAATTTTTCTCGATCGCGTTAAAGAATCAGCTGGTTCGCCTTGGTCGGCGTCGCAGCGTTTTGGAAGATCGTACATTTAGCTGCTTCGAACAGGTCGATTGAGTTGGAATCACGTAGTCAGGCATCCGTCTCACCTTTCAGCCTGAGACGGGCAAAGTCCTCGAAGATTATGTCGTCGCCGTCAGCATCCCTGAAATAGAAACAGCGAGAATGTTAGAAATGATAAAACCGATACGAACCTTATGTTCGTATCATGACCGGTATGTACAATAATTGTATCATGACGTGGAATGAGAAACGAATTGTAATTCGCGTAGTATACGTCGACGAATCGAGCGAAATGTGTCTGGAAATCGTTAGTTAAATATCGATCACGTACGTGTCCAATTCAATCAGATTCGTGTCAAGCGGAATCTCGCCACTATCTGCCGTTTGCGTCGGACTGGGCCGTGCGGTGGGTGGCGCTGGTTCCTCTTCTTCCGGTTTCGGATGCATCAAGATGAACGGCAGTTCCGCTACTAATTCGCTGCTAACAATGCGAATTAAATTCTCCTTTCATTTCCTGGCCGTGCTCGGGTCCGCGTTATAAATTCATCGATATAAATTGGTATAAACGGAGACAACGCTGCGTGGAAGAAACGCTAACGGTAACGGAAACCATCCCGTGATTCCGGTTCCCGGCTTCGTGTTTCTCCAAAGCAGATCGTCGATAAAAGGGACGAACGTCTAAACTCACCGTGCTAGGGTCCCAAGGCAGAGCTTTACTTTCACTTTGTACTGGACGAATATCCCGAGGTTCTCGCGTTGCGAGGGATCCCCACTGCGAAACAACACGAAATTCATGGATTTCCAGTTCATCTTTTCACCGGCGATCTTGCAATCCGAGCATGCATAGTTTGCAGAACAATTCCAATTCACCGGGAAGCGACAAGCGTACAGTTCAAAGGAACATTCTAAGGAACAATAGCAGGAAAGTACCGTGAAGCTAGTAGCCGGGATGGAGGTAGCCTCAACATCTCGAGATCGTAAAGGAAGCTTTGAGAACGAGCAAAGTATCATGCAGCTTCAAAGCAACAAGTGCAAAGCGACCATTCAGACCAAAAGAAGCGGAGGGACAGGGTGTATCGATTTTGTTTAAACATGGTTGCTTACACGTCTGGAGCATCGTACGATTCGATGCGAAAAGTGCGGCCGAAGTACGAGTACCAAACAAACGCACGGAGCGTAACAGCGTATGAGAAATAATTTCCAGTCAGGAATAATATCAAACAAGTTGAATTATTCGCTTGCGTTCAGCTTCCACCGCACTCGTTCCTTCGTATACGTTGGATATATCTATTACTAAGAGTGTTTGAGAGTTGCAGCAGTGTCGACGAAGCACAATCGATTCTCTAATGCGTTTCTATAGCGTCTTAGATCGGAAAATTCGACAAATCTAAGATACATGGCCGATCCAACCGACTAACTAGGTACATTCGTTCCCTGTGCAACGTAGATGAAATGGTGTCGAGAGATACGCGCTGATGCTCTCAAAAGCAGCTAAAACGCAATGCCTGAATCTCATCCCGCGATCTGCGCTAAACGTACCAGTCTGCTACATGACTGATCAGCAAACTCATTTCTCAAAGAGGGAAATTATCGAAAATACGGTAAAGCACGATAGAACGTCACGCTGCTGTTCACGACTTCTCGCCTGTCGTTCTACAAAACGATGGTCGGTCGTAATCGCGGATTGGCCGCGATTATTCGCATAATTGCGTGTAATTATCGCCACGCCGTGTCTTCATCGCCTAATCGAAAATAACAATGCGGACGTAATTGCTTCACACGAAACCGCGATTCGCTCTTTTTGCACGATGCTTACCGTAATTCCAGCCCGTGGATCGATCAATTTCACCGTCTGCTTGTTGAGTCGGAAGAG